CTTCAAAAACTCTTTTGGGCTTTCGAGGTCTAGAGGTTGGTGGTGAGATCGGGCAAAGTGGGAGAAGTAGGGGAGGAGGGGTTGGGAAGTTAGTGTACCGAAAGTACAATCCGTATATTCGGCTGGATCTGATAAGACCGGTTCTCGTAGTTACCCAGAGCAATAGGATCTGTCTGAGACCATAAAAACTCCCTCAACAGTGGCTTTTTCTCGTAAATAACCTATAAGCCAAATAAATAATTAAATATCACAACAATGGGGACTGGTGCAGGCGTATTCTGAACGGATGAATCAGGGTCGGCTACTCTATCATTCCCTGGTCTTTCTGCATATTCTTGGAAGTCGAAGATAGACTTAGCCACATAGACATTTGACGCCATTTGAGTTCTCTGCAAGTATTCCGGGCCAATTTTCCTTCGACCCCATCAATCAAGGCTTAATATGTGGCCACGGCTGTCATCCATTTTTATGGATCATTTGAGAAGGCAATTTTATTGCCAACTTATGGCCAAATACAGCCAACCACTTCAATTTTTAAGAGGACAATTCCCAAGGAGCTACCTGAGACGCATTCGGGGACTACCCAAGTGAACCTGAGAGAAGGTGTGGAGGGAGGAAGTAGCTGCTGAACCCGGCTCCTGAGGGTTCTGGGGTAGTACTTGCTGGCGCTCGGAATCGCTGCTCGCTGCTTTTTTCCCCACCGAACTGACCTCCAAACTGTAGAGCTCTGACAGCCCATGGGAAGATTTGATCCCATGAGATGTACAATCGCAATGTAACATCCCAAGGTATTGCTATAGCGCTTTCCTGGTTCAGGGAATCATCTTTGCGATTGAAAGTAATGACGTACCAGTCGGCGCTATAAAACCTTCTTGCAGCGTGATTGATCTCATTACGAGAAGCCGAGCTGTTATCTTCGTTTAGCACATTAACTCCCACACCATGTATAATGGAAACCTCGGCTATTGTATGACGTGGGTCCAGTGCAGAAAAATGTTCTTACGGTAAATAAATGTTGGCCAGCAGCAGATCGTTAAGATAGTAAAGTGCCAAGACAAGTCGGCGCCCGAGTCGGACATAATTCACAACACGTCTCAAAGTGATCCCCGGGGACGGTGATGGATGCAACACCATGGCAGACAGGGATTTGGCGAATTGCCAAGGGTCATTAGGCCTCTAAGGGCAACACCAAAAGATTGCTAGAACCTCCCATAACTGCTGCTATCAATTGAGTATGACTTTCACCCATACCGAAAGCCAAGCGCACAGGTTCTATGTCCCTGATTTCCATAGAAGGTCTCACCACGAAAAACATGACGTGATATGCATGGAAGAATAGCCGGGTGTTCCGCCATCGCCCACGGCTGCACTCAAGGATGTGGTCTATGTTCGCTCATTGAGTGTGCAACAGCAAAACAACCTCCTCTCTTTAACACCCAGAAGACAGGGGGATGTTTTTGGCCAAAAATGAATAATTCCCCCGTTTCAGGTCTGGCGGGCCCACTGAAACCCGATCTGGAAATGATGGCTATCTGTAAGGTATCGATACCGGGATTGAAAAGTGGCAAAGAGCAATTATCAGAGATTAAACGAGGACGAGATCCTATTTTTAACCAGGTACGATATGTTTGATTCCATTTAATTGATGGTATTCCGTAGAATTTTATGCTATAGTCTGTAATTACACGAGAACTTCACTACCGTAATCTTGTGCATTTAATTGCTACCGTGAATGTACGGTCTAAAGCGCGTGAACATCTGATTTCAATACTTGTAATTAGATTTGCGTCACATATGCGTTTTCATAGAGAAAGTGGGAGGGGAAAGATGGGAACTCACTATCGCTGTGTCTCTCAAGCTACTTGTTTTTCAAAAACTAGTAATTACTCGGGGATAAGAGAATCGAAAAGCGTGGAATTGACTGCCTTCGGGGCCACAAGGGATTCATGATTACGTCA